CACCCTTATAAAAAAGGACCCCAAAAAGAACCCTAATTTCGAGAACGACCCATAGGGATTCAAAGACAAAGCCTAAATCCGAAAACCCCCAATGCCCTTGACAACCCAGAGGGTAACTTCCCGCCTCCCAACCCTTAACCCTAAACCCCAAACCCCCTACCCTACAACCCCCTGCAAGCGGTGGGATCCCAGACCCAAGCAAAATTAGGTTTAGGGTTTAGGGTTTAGGGCTTAGGGCTTAGGGTTTAGGGGTGGGGTTTGAGTTTTTAGGGCTTGGTGTTTAGGGATAAGGCGTGATTGTCTGCCAACGGCTTAAGCGTTCAGGGTTGTAGGCTTAAGGGGTGAGGGATTCGGGTAGACCCTAAACCCTAAACGCCAATATAGACACGGCCAGAGTCTATCAGCCGTAATCCATTTCCCGACTTGTCAGAGGCTAGGGTGCGGGATGCGGGTTTATGGCTTAGGGTTTAAGGGTCTTTGGGCTTAGGGTTCGGGTTCTTAGTCCGCAAGCCTCAACACCGCCAACCCTAAATCCCACAGCCCACACCCTGAACCCTAAGCCCTACAAAACCCATACACTGACAACTGCAAATGAAAAACACAAACAAAAAGATCCCACAAGGTTCTAAAATCCACCCCAAACCCTAAACCCGTATGGTGGTCAAAAACGCTCACCATCATCGAAATCGTCCCTATTTTGTACCATTCTACCCCCGTCCCGGGGCCCTAAACCCTCAACCCTAAACCCTACATCGCCGGGTGACTGTGCAGCCAAAGGCTTGCGGGACTCCGCAGGGGCCTCCTGTTGGAAGCAGCTTGATGGCTCAGATGGCTGAGGGTTTGGGGTTCAGGGTTTAGGGTTTAAGGTTTAGGGTGTAAGGGCGTGGGGCTTCAGATGGAGTGTCTGGGGGTTCGGATTCTGGGGCTGTGGGGTATGGGGTTCGGGGCTGGCGCAAAATCCGGTACCCTCGCCGATTTTGCTGGACGGTCATACTCGTCCATTAGGTTAGACATCGTTTGGGTAAAGGTTCTTCAGAGGGATCGTGGTGAGGATGTAATGGTACTTGTGTCTAAATGCTTGCAGTCACTCTCGCGTCGTGGGGAGACGATGGTTTACTCAGTGTGGATACTGTAGGGGCCTTCATAATTCAGATAGGTGTTTGGGGGTATTTTTAACTATAGTGTTTCTATAACTACTATGATGCCAATCAGGAACTGCAAGACCTGATAGTGGTAATAAGTCGCTTCTGGGGTACAGTGACATGCCACGGCCGTGCGCTCCCGGGACTCAGGTGCTCCATTGTGTGTAGCTCGAGTACGACTTGTTCAAGCCCTTCCTTACCTAAGCCTAAACCCTCAACTTCCTATATCAAGGAGCACCCGACAACCATAAACATGTCCTAATCCGACAACCCTAAACCTTATACCCTAAAACCATAACCCCATTGTACCCTGAGCCCTGAATCCTCATTCCCTGGACCCTGAACTCCGAACCCTGAGCCCTAACTCCCGAGACCCGTAAGCCCCAAAGCCTCAACCCCTCAACCCCCTTAAATTAAACCCTAAACCCTAAACCCTAAACCCTAGACCCTAAACCCTAAACCCTAAACCCTAAACCCTAGACCCTAAACCCTAAACCCTAAACCCCAATCCCTAGACCCTAAGCCTAAACCCCAAACCCTAAACCCCACTCCCTAGACCAACCCCAAACCTCAACCC